TCTTTTTGCTTATGTGGTGCTGAGGAATTGAACCCAGGGCCTCAGGCATGCAAGGCAAGCGCTCTACCACTGAGCCACCTTCCCAGTCCTAAAAAAAATTTTTTTTATCTTTAGAGAGGTGGTGTTTCATAGTAGTCTACAGTACAATATGGCCTTTGAAATCAAGAGTAACTGGATTCAACAAGCTAGAGGTGTGGTTTAAAGGCTTAGAGCTCCTGCTTAGCAAATGTGAGGCCCTGAGTTTAAACTCCAGTACTAACAAGCCAACAACAGCAAAAAAAAAAAAAAAAAAAACCCTCACATTTCCAAGTATTCATCTGTAAAGGGCCAGCAACAATAGCACATACCATATAATGGTTTTATGGTAGAGTGCCGGCCAACCATGCCAACCCAGGCCTGAGCAGAAAGACAGCAAGAAGCTGTACAGTCTCCGACAATGCATTTACATGCGCACTGTTTTAAAACAAATGTTTGGAAAATCTATTGAGTTGTAGAGCTTGTTCACTGCTGGTTTGAGCCGATGGCAACTGAAAGTCATCCTATGGTTTTCGGGCATCATGAAGCTTTGAAGGTTGAGGTGGGCTCAAGTGGTATACAGTGCTGGCTTGTCAAATGCCAGTCTCTCAGCTTCAATCCGAAGAATCACAAAACACTCAAGAGTGTCAACGCTCACTAACTGCTGGTGCTTCACACCTGTAATCCTAGCTACTCAGGAAGCTGAGATCTGACAATCACACAATTGGAAGCCAGAGAGGGCAGGAAAGTCCCAGAGGGGCTTTTCTCCAATTAACCACCAGAAAGCTGTTAGTGCAAGTGTGGCTCAAGTGGAAGAATCACCAGCCTTGAGCGAGAAAGCTCAAGGGACAGCACGTAGGCCAGGAGTTCAAGCCCTACTACTGGCACCAAAAAGAAAGAAAGGAAATGGAGACTAGTGCATGGCACTGTCCAGCTCGTCCGGGTTTTCCCACGGGGCTGCAGTCTTTCTTCTTGGTCCTCCTCGGGCTCTCCTTCGGGGAGGCCTGGGCGGTCGGCCGTGCCTTGCACTCCGTTATCGGGAGCAGCTGCCAGCACCCAAGCTCCGGCGCTTCCCAGTCGCGAGCGGCCGGGGTACAGTACTCACTTTGAACCACAGGAAGCCCGTGGTGGCGAAGGTCAGCACGACCTTGGGCCAGTTCGGCTGGGCGTGCAGCGGCTCCCGCACGTAGAACTTGGACCGCGCGGCCGCTGCAAGGGGACAGAGACGCTGAACCGCGGCCGGGGCGCAGGCGCGCGCAGGCGCAGGCGCAGACGCGGCCGCCCGCGGCGTGGGGGAGGACAGGCGCTCGGGCCGGGCCACGAGCAGGGTCAGACCCCCCCCCCGCCCCGACGGCGCGGGCCGCGAAGGCCACCGGCGGGCGGTGGCACCCGGCACTCGGAGCCGAGCCGGGACTGGGCTCGGGCCTCGGCCGAGAAAGGTCAGGGCAGAACCGGGCTCGGGTCACCGTCGTTCCGTCCCCGAGAGCCCGGGGCGTCCTGACCCGCTTAGGTTAGGGGTGGGACGGACCGGCACCGGTAAAGACACTCACAGCCGCTCGGAAGCCGGGCGGGAGCCAGCAGCCGCGACAAGGGCCGCAGCAGCGCGGAGGGCGCCATCTTGCCAGCCAGGCCCCGCCCCGTTCAGGTGTCAGGTGTCCGCGCGCAGGCGCAGACCGTGCGCCCCCTGGCGGCCGGCAGCCGCACGGCCCGGGCGTCCCGAGGGGCGGCTGGCGTCCAGCGCGCAGGCGCGCAGGCCTGGCTTGTAAGTAGGTCAGGAAGGCGGCGTTGGAAAGGGGACGCGAGTGAGCGCGTGTGGAGTTCAACCAACAGTGTTACACCTGTAACCTACACCTGTAAGACCGATCCTTTACGTTTGTTGGGAAGCTTTGGAACTGCTTATGGAAGAAGATATGCTTAAAAACAAAAAAGATCTTACACTGACCAGCTGGGGTTTTTCCTGGGCAATTGAGGCAGATATTTGGGCATTCGTCCCTAAGCAATCTGGAATCTGAAGAGCAGGTGTATATGTAGCATGATAGATTCTGACCCTTTAAGGCCATTTCTGTCCATGTAATGTGGGCTGGAGGTGTGACTCAGGTGGTACAGTGCTTGCCAGGCAAGTAACAGGGCCCTGAATTCAAACTCTGACACCCCCCCCCTAAATTATAAACCTAAGGCCATGTAGGTTCATTTTAAAGCAGAGCAAGTATTAGCAAATATGCAACACTTTTTAAAGTTTAAAAAAAAAAGGTTATTTACCAAAGTGAGGAAAAAAAAAGACAGCTTTTCGGCTCATTTTAAAATGCTTATGATGGTTCAACAGGTTGCTAAAATGGTGAGTCACTTTAGACTGACTTTGTGCCTCTTGGACTCATGCTCAAGTAAGCAAAGCGCCTAACTAGCGCGCTGAGTCAGTTGTTGCCTCTCAACTTCTTGGCTTCTTGTCTACTCAGCAGCCGTCAGTCACATATCCTGTCAACACCACCACTTAGAAGCTTGTCCTGACACTTTTGCCAGTCTCCAACAAGTTAAAACAGCATCCACATTTAGTCAAGAGTATGCGGAACTAGTATGCAAATGACTAAGCTCAGTACCTACGATGGGAAACAATTTTACTTTGTTCTTATTCAGGCTTTTTTGGTCGCTGTATCCTTTTACTAGTGTATATTTTGGGAAAGTGATGAAGTATGAGAACACTGCTCTCAGCACGTTGGAGCTGATGGAATCCTACACTTGGAGTAGGCAGCTGAACGTGAAACTCCATCTTTTTTTTTTTTGTCCGTTGTGGGGCTACAAAGTCCCTGAGCCTCTCTGTGCTCAAGGCTAGTGCTGTACCACTTGAGCCACAATACCACTTCCAAAACCCCATCTTGGAAGGAGTCCCAAAGAACCAGTTTCAGCCAGAAGCTAATACTATTACATTTTGGTAGGAGTTGCTTCATAATATTAATACAAACTATATATATATATATGTTATATATATATTAATATTTTGTTGTTGTTGTTGGTCTTGAACTCTGCCTGGGTGCTGTCCCTCAGCTCTTCAGCTCAAGACTAACACTCTACCACTTGAGCCACAGCACCACTTCCAGTTTTCTGGTGGTTAATTGAAGAGTCTCACGGACTTTCCTTGCCCACGTTGACTTTGAACCACGATCCTCAGATCTCAGCCTCCTGAGTAGCTAGGATTACAGGTGTGAGCCACTGGTGCCCAGCTTTATAAGCAATATTTTAAATTTGAGTGCTAAGACCATTATTCATGACCCAGGTAAATAGAGAGGGTATTTGAGTTAGCATCTAGAAAACCATTTTTAGTCCTAGATTTTTCCAGTAGGAAATGTTTTACTCAACTCACATCTCTCAGGGAGAGCTAGAGAAAGGAACAGTTGAAAAAAAAAGTTATATGAAATGCAAAACACTGTATGTGGTATTGATTGTGATAATAAAAGAATTGTACAAATCAAATTGAGGACCTGGAGAGGAATGGACTTCCTCTGTATCTGCAAGTAGCACAACAGAGTATGGGGCTAGGTGTGATGCTGCACACCTGTAACCGCAGCTGCTTGGAGAACCAGAGGTAGGTTCAGGCTGGAGGCACATCTCTAGTCCCTGTCCAATAAGCATGAGGCCTTGATTTCAGATGACAGTAATGCCAAAAACATGCCTTCAAAACAAAATGCAAAAGCAAAAAAACCCACAAAAAAGCTCAGAATAGGGAAATGTTATTATTTATTAAATCTGGGTGACAAATACATACATTTCTTTGGTTGTTTATAAAATGTATTAATATGTAAAAATATCAATAGAAAACATCTTAGAAAACACATAAAGATGGAGAGAAATTTCACTCCATCCCTTTAATGGAACTAAAATTTGCAAGCTGAAATGATTTCATTTTTGGTTAATGTTTTTGGAGGTAGCTTCCCCTTCTCCTGCCCCAACCGCTCCGGGGTTGGATCAAACCTCTCTGGGTTCTTCAGACTAGATCTCAGTATCTAGCTCAGGCTAGTATAGAACTCTTGCTATGTACATTTGGCTGACCTCCACACTGTCAATATTCCTACCTCAGTCTCCCGAGTAGGAAGATTACAGTCATGTACCATCAACAGAGAGAAGCATTTTGCCATAAGAGACCTGGAAGTAAACAGGATATAAGGATAATTAGTTCATTTATCTTAGCAGGAAGTATGAAAACTTCCTGGAAACTTAGCTGTTATAACTCAAGTAAATCTAAGTCAAATAGTATTAATTAGAGAGAAGATATTTAATTGTTGAGTGTGTGTGGTCAGACTGTTAGCTGTTGGTAAATTTTACCTTGGAAAGGAATGTTGACATTAAACTAATCATCACTGAACCTTAAAAATTGATATTTAGGGTTGGGAACTATAGTTTACTGTGTAGAAACACCTAGTATACATGAGGCCCTGAGTTCAATATTCAGTGGAAAACAAGAAAAACATTGTTATCAGCCAAAAAGAATGAACAGTTGCTGAACTGGTTTTGTCTCAAAGACAAGAAATTTACTTTTGCAAGGAAAAGCATATTATTATATACAAGAGAAATTTAGGAAACCATAGTATTACTGTAGATTTCTCTATGAAACCAGAGATAGTAGTGACTAAGGTAAAATTATCACTGACTTAAACAATTATTTTAATTTTTCATATAGTTGAAAGGTCTCTAGGACACTGGATCTGCAGATTACATTTAGAGATTTTTTTGGGGGTGTGTGTGGAGGATGCTGTGCCTGAGCATTTTGCTCAAGGCTAGTGCTCTACTAGTTGAGACATGGCTCCACTTTTGGCTTACTGGTGGTTAAGTGGAAACTGAGACTCACAGGCTTGCTTTCCTGCCTGGGCTGGCTTCTAATCAGGATCCTTAGATCTCAGCCTTCTGAGTAGCTAGGATTACAGGCATGAACCATGGGTGCCAGGCAGGACTGGGGTTTGAACTCAGGTTCTCATGCTTAGCAAGCAGGTATCACTGAGCCAGACCTCCAACCCTGTATATCACTAGTTATTTTTAGTATAAAGTCTGCTTCATACTTAGGCCTACTTGAACCCCAAGCCGCCTTTAGGCTTTGGTTAATTGCTGAGATGGTAGGCATGTGCCATTGTGTCCAGCTATGGATTGAGAAAGAGGTCTCAAGAGCTTTCTTGCCGGGGCTGGCTTTGAACTGAAGGCTTTCAGCCTTGCAAGCAGCTCTAGGATTGTAGACATGATCGACAAATGCATGGCTACAGATTTTTTAAAAGATGAATTTCTTTTTCTTTTTTTTGGGGGGGGGTCCAGTCATGGGGCCTGAATTCTGGGCCTGGGCGCTGTCCCTCAGCTCTTCAGCTCAAGGCTAGCGCTCTACCACTTGAGCCACAGTGCCACTTCCGGCTTTTTTCTTTTTGCTTATGTGGTGCTGAGGAATCGAACCCAGGGCCTCATGCATGCAAGGCAAGCGCTCTACCACTGAGCCACCTTCCCAGCACTAAAAGATGAATTTCTAAGTCTGTTTTTAATTTTATATTTCCTCTAACCAAGCTAACAGTCAAAACCTCCCCCGCTCCTTTCTGTGGTGGCACTGGGGGCTGAACCCAGTCCTCTATCATTGCGCTACAACCCAGTCAAGCCCCTAAAACTGCCCATTTTTGATACTAAAACAGAACTTCCTGTATGTACAAGTTTCCTAAATAAATTTTTTCTTGATGGCACCTGGACTTGAACTCAGGGCCCCGTGCTTTGTCCACTGGAGCTGTGCCTTCTAATTTTTCTAATTGAACTTTTAAAGAGAGATTGCAGAATCCAAGGGAATTTCAAGATTTGACTTTGGGAATCCCCATTTTTTGTCCCAGGTGAAAGTAGAGGGTCATAGCAGAGAGAAAGCCCATGTTTTTAGACTCCAATTTTTCCAGTGGGAAACATCTCAATGAAAAAAAAAAAAACGACTGGAAAATTGTAACTGTGTAAATAAATTTAAAGAGCACATTTGTGATTTATGATGCAAAGAACAAAGATCGCTACAGGTCAAATTCAGGCTCTGAAGAGGGATAATGACTCTTCTGTGTGGACCAAGAGAGACCTATTCAGTATGTGGTATGACCTTGCCTTACTAGGGCAGTTCCTTTCTAGCATTCTTGCCAGATTCTCTTCTGCTAAAGGTCTGAAGAATTCTGGCCATGACTCGACAGTGGCCGTATCCAACACTAGTGGGAAGCCACGCTCCAGGGGAGTCTTGACTCTGAACCTGTTCACCAAACCAAGTTGACTCAGAGAGCTGGTTCTTCAACCTTGCCTTGCACGGCCTTCACAAAGGGAAAACTACACACTGCGAGACTCCTTTGGCAGGACCAGCATGCCACTCACTTCTGATCTAGCTAAGCACCTTTCCAGGCTCAACTTAGCTCATATGCACTGAGACCCCCAGTACCCCCAAGTCAAGCTCCTCCACACTTTTCAAACTCGACGACGCCTCTTTTCCAGACCGGGTCACATGGTCGTCCCGGGGCAGCAAATCCTGTTCCCTTCTGCCTCGGCCTCGGGGTCGACGAAGCGTTTCTGGAACACCTACACCGGCACTTCGACACCTCAGGCTCCGACCAGGGGCCAGTCTGGGGAAGTCAGGCGTAGCAGGCAGGAGCACACG